TCTACTTGTATGTATGTCTTGGTTATTGTTATGGTCCGGTTCCTTGTACCATGGTGATAGTCCAAGGTAGAACCAATAAAGAAGAACTCGAACACAGGTATGGAATAACACAGATATATTACAAACAGGAATATATACAGAGAGAAGTAGAAGTGTTAGTGTGAACAATCAGGTTTAGTAGAGAGAACAATGTAGTCTCGACCAGTATCACTATTCCAATGTCTTGCAGTAATTGTCTGAATGCGACTCTGTTTCGGACTGCCTCTGACTCGACTCTTGACTCGACTTGAACTACTCACTTGACTTGAACTACTGACTCGACTTGAACTACTGACTATATTTAGTCACCACCCCCCACGTGGGTATCATGTAGCACAAGGCTGGTTTAACGTGGGATCTCCGAGCCCGTGGGCTCAGCCAAAAATATGCCCATTGAACCCGTATAAACAGGTTCAGGGTCGGTTTACCTCCCCGAAAGAGAATCCGCCCTTCGGCGTAGCCTCGTTCGGGTTCCTCCCCGCCCGAAGGCAGAGAGTTCAACCGATCAGCCGGTCGACCGAGATCGACTTGAACGACTAACTATATTTAGTCACCCCCCTACGTGGGCATCATGTGGCACAAGGCCGGTTTAACGTGGGATCTCCGAGCCCGTGGGTCAAAAATATGCCCATTGAACCCGTATAAACGGGTTCAGGTTTGGTTTACCTCCCCGAAAGAGAATCCGCCCTTCGACGTAGCCTCTTTCGGGTTCCTCCCCACCCGAAGGCAGAGAGTTCAGCCGATCGACTTGAACGACGAACTCCTTGCCTATTCCTGAGGTGCAGTATTTATTAAGTATGGAATAGTCCATTATTATTATTATGGGTAAGATCCCATAACAGTTCTATAGATGTTTTTTCCCTTTTTTCATGTGAACACTGTATCAAACATGGTGATATGTAATTAGATATTAATTTAGTCTTGTATTTTTTCATATGTGGTTATTCATATAAATATATACCTATCTATCTATATATCTATATTTTTTAATCGGTTTCACCCCAAGCAAGGCAGAAAAACCACTAAGACACAAGGGTTTACTAGATGTGGAAGAATTATGAACAGAAACATTAATAATGAGCAGAAAGAGAAAAATAGTAATCAGAACGACAGTAAAAAACAATTGACATTGCATTTAAATTTTTGAAGATTAAAGTTGGCTGGAAAGCATGGAGCCGGAAGGGACTTCGACAAGCGAGAAGTGCGAGAAAAGAAATTGTTAGCATAGAATTTACGATTACATCTAGCCATCTCACCTGTAAACTGATGAGATTTCGACGCCAGTACTGCGCTTAAATTCAAAAAGTCTAGGTACCATAGCGAAAAGCTCATCAGAACAATTACCATGAAAGTATTTATAGAAAAGACACAAAGAAGCAACCATGAAGCGGTGGGAAAATGATTGAAGCCGAACCGCCAAATCAGGACTTATAATATTGCTAATTCTTCCCTGGATTTTATCAAGGAGCACAAGGTAAATAGCAGGCGTACCGGACCATATGTGACAACAATCTTCTAAATATAGACGAATGGTAACGGTCAGCCTCAATTTACTGGTGAGGAAAATTGTATAATTATTAATATATAATTTATAGCTCTAGGACAATATATATATATATATATATATATATATATATATATATATATATATATATATATATATAATGTATATATATATACATATATACATTATTATATATATATATATATATATCCAAGTATAGGATTGGTGTATACGGAATAAATTCCAATGAGCAAAAGAAACTCTATTCTACATTCAACACCATCACTTGATAAGACACCAGAAGTGTTGAAACAAAATGGCTATTTTTGTAGTGATTTTATTACATAATTATGTTATGATTTTCGAATAAATTATATATATATATATATATACACACACACACACACACACAGAAAGAGAGAGAATGAATATAAATATAAGCTTGCCATTGAGTTGATTATGTACAAACACGTTTGTATGAAAAGAACCGACACGGTCTGTTTAACATTTTTAGTATTTTCCAATTTTCGAATAATGTATTGACTATTGTGCCCAAAGTAGTCGTTAAACTGTCCGAAGTCCATATTTTGTTATTGTTTTGTATATATATATATATATATATATCCTTCCTGGCTGTTTATATATATATATATATGTGTGTGTGTGTGTGTGTGTGTGTGTGTGTGTGTGTGTGATAAAATAAATAAAACAGAAAACGTATATAAATCTAGTATATTTCAATTTTATCAAACGTTCGTCAGAGATTGATACATATATATATATATATATATATATATATATATATATATAATCTTATAAATATAAGTAAGTATACTCGTCCGGCTTACCCTGACGATCCGCGTAGGTGAAACCTAGGTAGGTTTGCCTGGCTCTTTAGGTTCGTAGTTACATTACACACACACACACACACACACACACATATATATATATATATATATATATATATATATATATATATATATATATATATATATAATTTTTGCTCTACTTTGCATTGAACACTTTTTAAAAAATTATATGTCTGTTGATTTTTACTTCATCTGTTCTGTCTCTTATATATATATATATATATATATGTGTGTGTGTGTGTGTGTGTGTGTGTGTGTGTGTGTGTGTGTGAAAAGTGTATATAAATATAAATAAATATATATATGTATAATTATTTGTATATTATATGTGGGTACTTATTAGAAAGCGCTCAATATCAGAGATAGAGCTAACAAATCTATCCAACCAAATATATTTATATATATATATATATATATATATATATATGTGTGTGTGTGTGTGTGTGTGTGTGTGTGTGTGTGTGTGTGTGTGTAATGAGATTAGCGTTTAAAAATCAAGTTTACATTTGTTTAATGCATTATATCCAGTATTGATATAAACATATCAAAGTTTAAAAAATTAAACAATAAACGCAAAATGAATGTAGTTCTGACTCTTCCTGATATACTTTTTGAGGCCTACATTTTTGTTATCTAATGTGAAATTAGAAAATAGCGCTCTACTTCGAAGGAGACTGTGAAAAATAGGTATTGGAATAAGAATTAGTTTAACATCCTTATATCGCGAACTAAATTCATATTTTTTTTATCCATTCACCCCAAGCAAGCCGATAATGCCACTAAGATACAATGGGCTACTGGAAGTGAAAAAGAAAACGAAGACTTTGGAAAGAACCGGAAAGCCGACCCTAAACAGAAAACATGACAAAAACTCTACTCTTGCTCAGAAGACCTTGTAGAAGTGTGAACCGGACGATAGGCGAACCTATCTATTTTTCCTGCTTGTTACAGGCCCTCAGAATGGTGATCAGGCTGATGCAGAGAGTTCCTGCCACAGTGCCTACAGATCAACGTCTGATAAATAGGTTTAATCCCTAATATTTTGTTCTGTGAATTTCTTTGGAAAGTAAAGTTAGCTGAAAGCGATCATGTCAGTATCTTCTGTTACCTGCTGATGGCCTCCATAGCGCTGAAGACATCTTTGAAGAGATTTGAAGCCCCACTCTCTTGCTGAAAACTGAGAACTAAACAAAAAAAAAATAAATGTCTTCTTGGCCTCAATCTGCGACAATGCAACTGGTCTGAGTTTTATCATTTATTTTTACTTTTCAGAATAAATCATAAAACTTTTACATAAGTCTTCTACTTAGAAAATGTCTCTAGGTCCCATTCCAGAACATGACTTCAAGTGAAAAGCAAAAAAAAGTCTCCCGAAATTTTGATGACACCAACCAGGTTAGGGGAAATTACATATATGGGAAGTTACTATTAGATTTAACTTTTTTACTTTTTATGGTTGTAAGATTACCGCCCCGTGATTAATAAAATCTCACTGTCGCGAGATTTTGGAATTATCGAACATATGTACTTGCTATTCTCGGAAACCCCCGAATATTTATATGTTTTTCTGAAGAACATATGTACAAATTATTCGTTGAGAACTCCCTCGATTCGCGTATTTTTTCAATAGAACATATTTAAAATATTCTTGTATTATTTTCCTCTTATTTAAGTGACTTAAAACATAACAATCCATTTTTATGGTAAAAAATTGTCCGAATTATACATCTTCATTGTAAAAAAACAAACACAAGAACATGCCTAGTGCTTGGGCTTTGTTCTTTCTTAAGGGCTGCAGTCTTAAAGTGGCTGATGCTAAGTCTGGAGACATCATCACAGTTCTTTTAGAAAATGTTTTAAACTTTATATTTTATGTCTTGTTACTCATATTTCATCCAATATTTTCAATGGTTGTATCGATTTACGCTAAATGCATGGTCACCAATACTATTTTTCAATAATGTTTTAAAAGGGTCTGAAATGTTTCTAAATTGTTCAGGATGAAAGTGTAAGGTATATGGGATTTTAACAATCAAAATAGGTACTTATAACCACTTAGGTGGGGTTACAAATATTCGCGAATTCTAACTATTCGCGGTCGGTTCTGGCCCCTAGCCCCCGCGAATACGGGGGACTCACTGTATTCTTTTCGCTCCTCTAAAATGTAAGTAATCAACTATAGACACTTAAAGTTGCTTTGAACTTTTCACATTTCATTCCATATCTTTTCTTTTATAAAATGTCCTGACAATATATTTGTTAATATTTCTTTGTTCAAATTCTGTTTTAATATTCCTTTGGGTTTATATGAGTCCAGCAAAAATTGTTAGCGGGTCAAATGTACCAGGAGTTTATAACTTCTTATCAAAAGAACATATACCCACTCCAAAGTGGTGACGCCATTAAATGCTTTTTAAGGAGTCTTCATACCTTTTTGTGAGAGTCCAAAGAACTTTTGGAAAGATAATATTTTTTTTTAAATTATGAACGATATTGTATTTAAATAGAAATATAAAATAAATAGTATAATTTAAAATTTACTGATTTTTTTTAAAAAAAAATATATTTCATGTATTTTTGTTCTTCAGGCAAGATGGCTGAAACAAGAAGTATGAAGCGGGGTAACACCAACAACTCTCAAGATACAAAAGGCGCCCCGTTCTCCTCAAAAGACCTCAGTTATCTCAACAAACTCCCCAGTATTGCACCAAACTATGGCCGAAAACATTACAGCGTCTGTTACATCTTAAAGTCAAAAATTTCACGGGTTTTGCTTTACGACAACATTACACAACAGCGAATGCTCGATCGGAAACTGAATCTCCTTGGAGGAGAACAGCGGAGAGTTATGCAATTACTCGACTACCACCGGAAATTGTTCGAAAATCAAAAAAACCTTAAGCATAAGCGTTTGACATCCCATGCTCGATCGCCTGTTACTCAATTCGAAGAAACTAAACGAGTTCAGCCCGAAGTAATGACAGAGGGTTACCAACAACAGAGGCTACCTGAGATTGTATCCGGCTGCTCCAGTTTCTCTTGTGCCTTAAATCCGTCGGTAAGCTCCCAGGACACTGCCAAGTATTCGTCTCTTCCGCATGATAAAGAGTTCCGGGCATGTTCGCAAGCATATTACGACCAAATGACGAAATCAGGCGGGAGTCTGACACGGAACGTAGACAACAGCAATGGCGATAATCATAATAATTTTGCTGATAGTGCTCCTGTTCTCAGCTCTTTTAAATCTCAAGCTAAAGAGATAAAGATGAAGTTTTCGAATTACGATTCTGACATTCGTTTCGTTTCATTAGAAAAACTCTTGTCTCCAATGGATAAAATCTCATCAAGCCACGTAAAATGTCAAGTAACATTTCCAATGAAAACTAAAGACTCTTAAAATTCCTCATTATAATCTAGTGTCTAATGGTCAGGAGCGTTGCCTTCTCTTTTCTATTTTGACCGAAAGTACTTACACGCTTTGATGGAAACATCAGTAAAGGGTTTCTACTATTTTCCGATGAAATAGACTCTAAGGCAATGAACAAATAGACAATGATATAAACTTCCCAATGCGGTTTTAGTTCAACATTCCTGAGTATTTTAGCACATACATCAGTGTTTTGTTTATGTTTTTTAATCATTTCACCTGAAGCAAGAGAATAAAGCTAATAAGACGCAAAAGGTCACAGTGTGTGAGAAAACATTATTAAGGAGAGAGAACTAAAACAATAGAAATTAAGAAAACAGAAGATAACGATTGACTTTGCATTTAAATTTTTGAATCTCTTAACTAACAAGAAAGCAAGAAGTCGGAAGAGAGTTCCATAGTTGAGAAGAGCGAGAGAAGAAACTGTTAGCATAGAACCTACGGTTACATCTAACAATTTCAACTGTATAATTCATAAAGCCTAACCCCTGCCATAGAGGAAAGCTTAGCAGAACAATCACAATGGAAAATATTCATAGAAAAGACAAAAAGAAGTTACGTTACGGCGGTGGGAAAGTGACTGATACTGAGTTGCCAAGTCATGACCGATAACATTATAGATTCTTCTTTAGATTTTGTCAAGAATTGCAACATACATAACTGTTATGGTGAAACACATCTATTCTGTAGTTAACAGACTCTCCCACCTAATATAAGTAGGAGTAATAATAGAAACGGGAGGCAGTCAGTCAGTCAGACGATGTCGGACGGCAGTTAGTCGAATACGAAAGTAGTTAGCGACCACAACAAGATTACTCTGCGTAATACCTATTATATCAAGTTCCTAACGTTTTGTACGTCGAACCTATTTTAGGACCGATTTAGTACAAATACAAGCCTCCACTGCGAAATAACTCCACAACAATAACAGAAACAACAGAGCAGATGTGACAGCGATATTCAATGCATGGACGAATAGTTGACTTATAAATATGTAAGATAGATTCTGGCGATAGATAGATGCTGCACGACACAGTGAACCAACTTTCCGAGTAGCATAACTGATTCAATATAATCTTTCCACTTCATGTCAGCCCCAGAAAGCGCAACGAGTCAAGCTCCTGGAGGTTAGCTTCAGCCATACTGACGGAATGCAAAAAAGACATTTAAAAGAGAGCAGTCTTGTTTTGGAGGCGTTAAAATTAACACGCCGTTTCTTGCCCCAGTTAACAACAGATTGAAGGTCATTTTGCCAACTTGCCAAACATATTGTGATAACAACAACAAAGGCAAAGACAATAGTTGGTATGTATTTAATGTAAATTACATTAATTACATGCGGACTAGTGTCCTCATTTTTGTTGTTATTATCACAACGTTTCGGCCGTTTTATCCTCCGACCATCATCAGGTGCTTGTCGATCCGTGTAACATTTCGAACTAAATCCTTTATTTAATCTACGGTGGGGATTGTTCTCATTCAGCTGATTATGTCTAGGGCAGGGGCGTCAAACTAATTTTGATTCGGGAGCCACATGAGCTCAATTTTACATCAAGTGGGCCGGAGATGTACAGAAAATGTCATGATGAAGAAAATTGTATTGTTTTTATTCAATAAAAATGGTTACATGTTATAATGCAATATACTACTTTGAAATGAACCAAATGAGCTTACACTGAATTCTTTACAAAACATTCTAACATTCAGAAAGCTATGACTAGGCTAAGCTTTAATTTCAACTTTGACAATATTAACCATTTAGTAAACTTAGTGTGATCCAGATACTTGACACCTTTTAGCCTTGACAAGTGTATCAATATTAGGGGAGATTTCCTGTGAAGCAGCTAGTTTCAGGATGTCATTTAAGTTTTTTGTTTGTTAGCCTTGAACGGAGCTTGTTATTGTTGTCATTACTGAGAAAACTTGCTCACATAGGTAAGCAGTTCCGAAGATGCAAAAGATTTTGGCAGCTGGGTCTCTTAGTTTGGGATAGCCAGGAAAAAGATATTTGATAACAGAGCAGGACTAAAAATAAGAACTAAACGAGATATGCTTAGACTCTAGGGATATCTCATCTAGTTCTTATTTTTAGAACTGCTCTGTTATTGCTCGCCACGTTTCCACTCAATCGAAACTTTGTTGTTAAGATGGGGACAGTAGTTCGCGTGTAAATTATCTAAATAAAGAGAATGTCGGTCTTCAGGGCTTGTACGTGCAGAATGGATTGATAAAAGATCAAATTCTTGCTCAATGAGAATAAACCCATTTCATCAGCGTTTGGTCTGTGTATCGAAAATATTTTCATTCAACATAAACACGTTTTGCCCTGTTTGCAAGGCTTCGTATACACTATCTGCATCCCCTGAAGAAGATTAAGATACTATTCGGAAAAAAAAAGGGGGTAACTACTTCTGAGTAGGTTGTTATAAACCTAGCTGGCATCTATTAGGTTGGTGCAAAAATAATGTCGTTTTTGACGTTCAACTTAACGTCAAAAAACGACATTATTTTTGCACCAACCTAATACCTTTCATAATCGACAAAGGTCCTTCAATATAATGCTTTGTTTCAAAGAGACGTCGCTACCCTTAAAATGCTTAAACCAGTTTGGAGTAATATGGTCAGTTTTTGCTTAACTTACTCCCACGTTCCAAATTACACGAGCAGTTTCAACGCCTTTGAGAGCCTGTTTAAAATAACGTCTCAGAATTGCCAAAATCTCAAGACTTCTATCCACCATTATAACAAGACATGTAATAAGTAATGTTAACGGGTTAAATTAGCCGTTTACCTACAATGAAACGTTTGAGCGTCCTGGGTAAGACGATAAACTACGTCCGACAGCAAGAGGTTTTGAGGAGCGTGTAACCACCTCTTAATTACTGGTATTCCCAGGTCACCCTGACCCGGGCTAGTAGCACCTGTTAGGGTCCAAGCTATGGGCAAATAGTTAACCCCGTCAAACTGGAGTCAAAACACTATGAAAGTGTTTTAATACCAGAAATACTTTTTTGTAAAAAATTATTACCAGCAGTACATTTTAAAAATAAATATTACAAACAATAGATTTTTTGAAGAAAAAAATTACCTGCAATACATTTTTGGAAAAAAAATGTTACCAGCAATAAAAATTTTGTCGGTATTAAATAACCCATTGAGGTTGATATACCGTAAAACAAAACAAAACAAAACAAACCGTAACGTTTGACATTCATTAATCGAGCAGCCAATACTGTTTCCGGTTGAATTTTATCAAATCTTTCTCTTTGCTACTTCCCTTTACTTATTCCAATTACTGTAGTGAAATGCGAAAAAGTCATGAACTCGTGGGAATAGATGTGATAAAAGATGATACAACAAAATTAATAAAGTGTGAAGTCGGAAAGAACTGACACAGGAATGTTAAAAGTAAGCATCGAATTAAAGGAAAATAGTCACTTCTCTTACTTTGAATCTGCTCATTCACGTTCTACCTTTCGTGGTTGCTAAGCTAAAAACAATGGTGGAGCAAGGAATTTTAGAGCATGTTCTCCCTGGTGGTACTAATTGGGCTTTACCCATTGTCGTTTTATGAAAACCGGATGGAGTTTTAAGGATATTTGGGTATTAAAAAATAGTGTAAACCACAAAATATGCTCCGATTTTTTCTCTATTCCTAACAATGAAACCGCTATTCAAGAGTTGCCTGGAATAAAACACTTTACCAAAATTGACCTCAAATTTACCTATGGCTAGATACAAATTGATAAAAAAAAAGTTCAATAAATTACTACTGGCAGATAACACAACACTCTTAAAAAATTTTTTAGGAAAATAAGTTTCTCAAGTTCAGCAACTGTAATCGCTCGTTCCAGTATTGATGGGGGTTCCTGTTTAACTTTTTATTTGAATTAGTACGAGGAAACACACACCTATTCTTACTGAAATCATAACACCTGAAAGGTGAACATGTCTGACAACGAACAGGAGATGAATCAAGCAACCACAGAGGTCAGTAAATCGACACAAACAGTATCCATTAAATCACTGGTTTTCATTGAATCGAATGTGATTGCATGCTTCTCAATGATGGAGGTGCAAATCGACATTATAAAGATAAGGACACCCATACAACAATTTCATCACATGCTGGCTGCATTACCACCGGAGATAGTATGCAAACTATTACCTACCATTTTACAGTCAGGAGACTACGTCAAACTTACAGAAGGATGCTGAGAATACCATGAAACGAACACGTGAGAAACGACAATAGTTTAGAGAAAATGGGAACAAAAAGGATACTTATACGTAACATCAGAAGGTGAGAATTGAAAGGGTAAATATAACGAGGAAAGATGGCTTGTAAAATTTGATACTCACAGGCCAGATTGATGGTAAGAAGGACAGAGGAAAGCAGAGTATAACATTCCTATAGAACCTGAGTAAATAAATGGCGGTTTAGGAGAGATACGAAAAAGACAAAATTTATTAAGAACTACAATGGACAAGAAATTGTAGAGAGCCATGATCGTCTACATCCTGAAGGGACACGGCACAAAGCATAAGAAGAAAATAATCCTAGAGTAATTATCTGGTCTAACTGGCTTTGCATAAACGGAAACTAACATACTACATTAACCCATTATATATATATATATATATATATATATATATATATGTGTGTGTGTGTGTGTGTGTGTGTATGTTAAAAAAGTGTGAACGGCTGATCTCCTAATTTTACTAAATTCAAAACTCTGCATTTTTATTTTATTTTATTTATATGAGTATTGTGTACTTTTTAATACTACTGTTTCCTGGTATAATTCAACTCTAACCAATTTTTTCATAATGATATATATATATATATATATTAGTAGTAGTAGTAGTAGTAGTAGTAGTAATCTTATAAGTATAAGAAATTATACTCATTAGGAAAACCTTCAGTGTTTTGATTTGCAAATAATCAAACCAATACCAAAGGGAAAAAT